TGCCTTGTGATACTTCCAATAAAGACTTGGCTAGTGTGGGCTGTAACCTGAATTAATAATATTGTCTTGCCCATCTCTGTTAAAATGTCAGATTTTCTTTGTTCTTTAGATGAATATCAATGTAAGTAAAGATGTCTTTCAGACTGCCTGTCTTACTAACTGGAATGTATATTAAGTAGGATGAAATTATTTCATTACAGAAAACGGATCGTATACAGAGATGTGCAAAGAGGATATTGTCATATTCCTTGATGAGCTTGTGTAGGTCCTTATTCTTTTCCCTTCACTGAAGTTCTTAAATACAAAGTCATAGACTTCTCCATGTCCTTATTTACAGCGTCAAACATCGGAATGGTTGGTTTCAATTTGTACTTACCTCATGTTTAACTTCGGGTAAGTAATTTTATTTGTTTCTCTGTTTCCTGCCTGGATAGGGGAATAATTTTCTTCCATCTCTTTTTGTTTCAAGATCCCTTTGGAATTTTTTTTGTTTTTAGGGGGAATAATGAATCTTAGCTATAATTTCATTACACCTAGAAGCCTCATATTAAATAGCAGTAAACCAGCGATATTCCGTCAGCATTTCTTCTGAGCAGTGCAGTCTGTGTTTGTACAGGGTACGGCGCAAAAAGACCGGGAAGACACCAGGCTCCAGCTCCTGCTGAGGAAACACGGGTCTATGGTGTCGAGGTTAAATCACACCAAAGCAGGAGAATCTCCCCTGAATTAGAGATGTCGGGGGACCGCCCAACCTGGCCCCAGCTGTCCTTGTTTTCAGGGAGACGCGGGAGGTTGAGGTGGTGCTGGCCTGGGTTTCCTCACGATGGCAGCAGGTCCCTCGCGGTTCCCCTGATGGCGGCAGCAGGCTGGAGGCCGCTGGGTTCTGCGGCTGGGCTCTCGCTGTACCGCAGGGCCAGCTGGGGGCTCCCCTCCCAGGCGATGTGGGGACCCTCGGAGCCGTGCCCGTGAGGTACTGAATTTACAGCTGGTGTGTGCCTGATTGCTGCTTTATATCTAGACTTAGGGGTTGGGGGGGAGGAAAAAAAAAAAAGTGGAGGGTGTTGCTCGGCCTGAGGGCAGCCGGGTGTCTGTGAAGAGAAGGCCCTCGTACCGAGTGAGGGCCATCAGGGCAGGCACAGCAATGGCTGAGGGCGATCCACAGAGAAGAGGTGGTGCGCAAGCCAGACGGTTAAACCCTATGTATCTGTTTCTTTTCAAAAATACCCCTGAAACGAAGAGGCTGTGACCAGGAGGAGGGATGTCTGAATTGCGACTTGTGCTGGTGCAGGTGATGGCGAATCGGCTGTTTGGTTTATTCTGAGAGGGGAGGGGGAAAGGAGTGCGCAGTCTGTCAGAAAGCAAGGGAAGCGTACATAATAGAGAGGAGTTGTACCTCTCAGCATTTCATAGGAGCAAGTTGCATTAATACTGCTTTGAGAACCAATAAACATTTTTATACGGTGATTATTATGCATCCCATAAAAGATAAAATATAGCTCTGGAGTGCACCAGCTTGCCACCTATCATTCAGTTCCTGAGCCTCAAAAGCAAATTATTTTCCAGTGAAACTGTCCCTAAAATGCTAAGTGCTAGAATGTGGCCACTAATCTGCTTGCTGCCATAGTACTGCCATCTCTATAAATTGGTGTGCCCCTTCCAGAGGCAGATATACCTTTCTTCAGCCTCTTTGATCAGCTAGGACAACACATCGCCATGGTAATTCAGCAGTGGACCTAAAATGTGTCACAGAACCCAAAATCTATGCTAAAAAAAAAAACCAAAATCCTGTGGATCATTACGGACTATATGATGCTTTGTTTTTTTTTTTTTGGGGGGGGGGGGGAGGATCTTAAAATCTGTTACGCCTTTCTCTATCTCTTATTTTATATATCTTCATAATGTAGTTCATGGTGATGTAAAATCCATCTTTCTAGAGATTTTATCTCTAAATGGGAAGACTTGCTAAAATACATTGTAAGAAAACTCACGCCTTGGCAAAAGGACTGCCTGTAGTGCCTGCAATGACAGATCTCTTCCATTCCTCATCTCTGTGCTTCCCCTCTCAGTGCAACCGGATCTTCTGGTTGCATTGCAGATAGTCTACTGAGTGTGTTTCCGTATAATCCACTTGCTAAAAGAAAGGGAATGAACAAACCTACATCTTTTGCTTTAAAAGCAAATTTTTGCCCTGTGGTGATCCCAAAGGAAAAATGGTGTGTGTTCAAGGAGGACATCCAGAAGGCTCTAAAACCACAAAGTGAATGAAGAACATCAAACTCTGTTTGCAGATGAATGTGACCATGTCATAAGGGACTGGCTTCAGATTTCTTTCTTTCTGTCCCCCCGCTTCCCCTCCCAACTTGGTATTGGCAGTTGGCAATGTGCTGTCTTAATATCTACAAAGTAATGTTCCTTGTCTGTAATTTTCAGGATGATCTATTTGAACTTAGATCTTTATCTCTCCTCTTTCTTTTTAAATATTTCCAAGGTATAGCTGTGTACAGCAAGGCTAAGATGATAAAAAATCAGAACAGAAAAGAAGCAGCACAGACTACAGCTTGCATGAACAGCTACATTAGAGAGATATATATACATGCACACCCATACCTCTTTTTTTATACACATATACATTATATATTTCCTAAATATGTAATATTTAATATATAATAAAACCAATAAAAATAGTGTTCTAGAAAAATATAAAGCATTTGAATATAATAGTACATTTAAATATATATTATATAAATGTCATAAAATATACTTTATATATTTTATGTCTTTATATATAAAAGTGGTATTGTCAAAGATAGAAGCTTGTTTAAAATTAGATCCTCTCTCTGCAGAAAAATAGAGAGAAAAGATGGGAAGAAATATGCATTAAAAATAGAGCCCTGTGTGAGTGAAAATGGATTTGTGTTTCAGGTTGCAGCTGAAGTGTAAGATATAAACTACTCAGCAGTGCTTCCTCTTTGATTATTGGTTCTGCAAGAGCACCTAGCATGAATGAATGCTGCAGGTAGCACCTGTTTCCACCTCTCCCTCTTCTAATTTTGCATTCTAGGAGTGTAGTACATCATCTGTGTATATATCCCATGCTAATACAACCGATTTTAATGTATCATTTGAAGGACTATTCGTTCTTTCTTGCCCCTGGTTTTATGATTTCTTGGATTTGTGACACCCAGATTAATTCTGAGTTGGCTCTTACTATTGTAGTTAATTCATGTCTATATAAACCTGTTATAATGCAAAATGACAACGAGATCCTGAATCCTCAGATAGTGTGAAAAGCTTCTGATGGACCAGACGTGTTGCTGAAGGACAGAGTGTATGTGTTTACTTTCTGACCTATCACATAAATGCTGTCAGAATTTTGCTATTATTTTGATTTGTGGCATTCCATTAGCAGTTTTTCTGAGTAGCAGGAGAATAATAACTAATGATTCCCAGACTCCCAGAATTATAAAATAAGGACAGGCACTGTTTGGCAGAACAGAGATTGTCCTTTACTACAGACAGGAACTGTTCATATTAATCAGATGATATCTAGTCTAAAACAACTTTTAGCTAATGACTTCTTATTCTCAGGTTAACTGTATTACTTACAGGTAGTATGCTGTTCTATTTCTGATGATTAGTAATAATCAAAGGCTTGATGCATGTATTTCTGTCTTTCAGAAAGAGAAATAGTGCTCTTGATTGACCTTATTTTAAGATGTTCTTAGTGTTGAAATTATGATGTTAAGGGTTAGAAATGGGGTGTCAAAAGTTCATGGATTTGGCTTTTGATTTAAGCCTTTACAAGGGTGGACGTATGAGCAGTGAATGAGCTCAAAAATGTGAATTTAATTATGTGAGTTTCAGGGCTTAATTATTCGGGACATCATTTTGTGATGGAGAACTTCCTTAGGGCCATCAGTAGTAGAAGTAAGTGAGTCACACATTTCACCTTGAATATGTGCTGTTTGTATCATACTTTTGGACATAGAAGTGTTTCTAACACAATACCTGACTGCTAAAATCCTCCTAATTTCTAGCTTGTTAAATATGAGCTGACATGTTGATTGATTTAAAGAAATTTAAATTGGAAGAAATTTAAATTGGGAGATTTTACAAGATACAATTTGTTTTCCTAGCAGAAATAACATCTTTTGTAGGATACTAAAGAGCCATGTTGCACTCTATAAACTGCTTTCCAATATTAAACAGACTTGAGCAAGAGGAGGCTCACAGCAGGGAGTTCCTGCAGGGCAGGAGGAGACTGCTTTTGTGGAACCAGTGGTTTGATAGCTCCCAGATGCACCTTTGTGCTAATGAGGTTTTGCACAAGTTTCACAGGTGCTACCAAGCCTGGTATAAATCAGGATGAGACTCTTCCTCCTCTAATTTATGGGCAGGCTAGTTTGACAAGTTTTTTTTTAAGCTGTTTTTGCTTCTCTGTGTCAGTTGCCAGCGTCAGGGCCTTATATATATACTTGTGTATATATATATGTAAGCAAGTTGCCTCTTCCTAGTGGTGTCAGGTTTTCTTGGTTTTGGCCATGAAGGTCACGTCCTCTGTTGCCACTGCTTTTTCTGTGAACAATGCTTACATGCTGTTCCAGATGTGATGCTTTGTTCTCTTTGTGTGTAGTAGTTCCCTGAAAGAAGCTTAGGACTGACTGTCTTCAATGGAAATGAAATGTGTTTTGTGGTCTGCTTATCTACATCTATCTAGTAAACATGAGGAAGTAACATCTTGAAATCTAATTCAGTGTTGACATGACAAAAAGAAAGATGAAGGGCACAAGGAGAGACTGCTGCCTTGAATACCTCTAGTTCCACCCACACACACTGCTATCTACCAGAAGAATAAAACTGTTTATTTATAATTGAGATGCAAGTTTATGTGCAGACAATTATTTATGTAAAATCCTATGTAAGGTATTAAAAAAATTTGCGATACAAAAGTCCAAGAATCACAATATTATTATTTCAGCATAAATAGGGCTTGTACCGAAATGACCAGTATGGCAAACTGAAAGTAATGTTATTTTTTTTGGTACAAGTTTACCTGTACAGCATCTCTGACCAGCTGTGGGCCTGACCAGTGACCACTGAAACCAGTGCAAAAAAAACATTAACCTGTGCTGCACAACTCTGCTAATGTTGCCTATTAGTATAGGTTTAGGCAGGCTAGTGCTGTCCTGGGGGGGTGCCCTTGGTCCTCTCACAGATTGCCAGGTGCTGACGGAGAGTATTTCCTTGTGTCAGCTTAAAGGTTTGAGCTAATATCTGATCATAGTCTTGAGACAGACTGTTTGGTTAAGATACTGGTGTGACATTTTGTTGTTCCTGGAGCATAAGTAACCTCTAAGTCGGAGTTCATCATGTTTTTAAAGGCTCTTGGCCATAATACAAATGTGTGTTCCATGGGAAGAAAGCGTATGAAAAGCTGCATTTTTGTCAGGTTTCTAATTTATAGGGAACACTGACACACAGAAATCTAATTTATGTCTGTGTACAGTATGTTACTGATCACAAGTAATGGAGTACAAGCAGATGCTTTGGTTTGCAAGTGTAGAAACTGCTAGTGGGCTGAGCTAATGGTGAAGCAGCTTTAGCTTGCCAGAGGGAAGCTGTTGATTGTGTGTTGGTAGCATAAGAAGGTAAATCCTGTGCCTGATGCTGAGCAGAAAGAGGTAGCTGGTGTCCATGAAGTCTGCACTTCTACAGGCTGAAAGACTATTTTCTTGGTCCTTTATATCATAGGGTTTAGGAGAGGAAACTTCATATTGGAGATTAAGATTTTTGTGCAGATGTGTTCATCTTTGATTAAGGGTGTCTTTTCCAAATGAAGATAGTGATAATAATGATAATTGGCTGTTCATATCATTGTTTGTATTTGGTAATCTTAAATGTCTCTGACAAAGAGACAAAAAATTCTACTAGTAAAAAGAAATGAAGGTAGCTGATTTGTTCCAGTTGCTAGTGAAGTCTGTGCATCATACACTAAAAGCTTTAAAAAAACAACAGTAAGCTTGTCTTTCAAATCTTGATGTGTCATGGGAGCAGAAGGGTACGTACTAGTATTTTCATACCTGAATTTTCGGGCAGTCTATCTGCAATCTTTTAAAATAAGATAATTCAGTGACACTTAAACTGTCTGTTTTTTTTTTGTTTTTTTTTTGGTTTTTTTTTTTTTTCCCCCAACAGATTCTTCTCCCATATTTCAATATACTCCTTCATTAGATGCATGGACTAAGAAGTTTAAGGTTGTTATTTCCAGGAAAATTTGGGGGTAGGGAGGAATACAGGACTACCCCATTAACGAAGCAATCCGGTGCTAATAGTGGACAGAGCATGTGAATACATTACTTTGCTTGTCATACTTTTATGTACTTAGGACAATGTTTGTGGGGTCTTGGGGAAAAAAACAGACATGCATTAGCAATGAGATCAGTTTGCTAGAGAAGATACTGAGGACTACTTTGTGTCAATTAAGAGCCATTTGGAGTGGCAAATATCTTAAATGCTGGCTGACTCAGCTTGCAGAATAACCAAATGGCAGAATTTCACAAGTGGCTACATCAGAAACATTCTGCCTCAGTTGGTGACACAAACCACTAATTTCCTGTATAAAGTATTTTCTCAAAGAGTGGGATCCATTGATCCCAGGTTTTTCTTCACATCTAAGAAAGCATCATTTCCCCACTCAGGTTCCTGTCTCCTCCTCTGAATTCATTCATCTCCTCCTTATTCTTCTTGAGTCATGGATTAATCTTTTCCTTCAAATACAGTGCATTAGTTTCCTCTAGCCGTGTCAGTGAGTGGGAATGCCTTCACCTTTTTTGGTAGGATAAATCTTCTGTCTTTTGTTGAGAATATGCATTGATCTATAATAGGTAGTGCCCTAATGTAAGATGGGGCTAAAGAAAAGAATATACAAGAGACAGCACCCCTCCTTTTTGTGAAAACGAGGAGGCTCTCTTTCTCCTTCTCTCTTGCCTCTTCCTAACACAATAGTGTTTGGATGCATCTCTTGGTCACCAGGTAAAAAGGGAAAACATGGAGGAAAAAGAGGTGTACAACGTTTCAAACTGATAGAAAAATGAAATTGTTTAACATGGAAGGATGTGATACTTCAGTAGCTTAGACATCAAGAGCCTTTCTGTAAATGTGGTATTAAATGATCCTGAAATCATACGAGAATACACTTGCTTTCTCTTACAATCTTTCTCACAATAACCTGAAGAATTGCAATCATGCTACATCATTTTCCTTTAGAGTTCAAATTAACTCAGAATAAATGAGGCTAAATAATAACTTGATATTAACTCAGAGATGGTCAACCCAGATGGCTCTGACCTGTGCAGTAGTCCAGGATGTTCAGGAATATGCAAACCTGATGTGGCTTATGCCATGAAATGTGCTTAATGGCCTTGGCTATCTGCTGGAGTTGTGTCGCAGCCTGAGGAAAATAAGCCTTTTGAGTGGTTTTTAATGAGCTAGCTCCCCAGATCAGTCAGAGAATGCCATGCCACCCTGGACTGAAGAGGCCTGAGTTTTCCTAGGTTTACTAAATGACTGTTTGTTTTCTTTCTAGATTCCAGCCTATGGAGAAGTGTACATAAGTATAAGATAAATATGGCTTTTAAGGGCGAGGACTGCTTAGATTCCCTTCCGTTACCTGTTCAGCGGTAAGTGGTGCACTCTGTCTGCAGCCTGTGCAGGCTTGAGTGATTAAATACCTTTAAGGCTGCAGCTGCACTTTCCTTTGAGGATCCAAAGATGTTAATACAAAATGTTGAGAATAGATGTGGAAATCTGGATGCATTTCTCAAGGCATTTGCAAATTTGTATTGCTGAAGTCTGGTAAATCATGACAGAAAATGTGCAGTCATCATTTTAAATGGATTAACATGTTTACAGTAGAGATGTGACTATTTACTGAATCAGTTCTTTATAATGATGGAAATCACTGGAACTTGCTGTGCTCTGCAAAGACTGCTGAAAACTATAAATATAAATTTCTCTAACATGGTTGACTTTCTTCAGGTGTAGCTATGGTAATTATACACAGGTTATGATATAATCTCTCCAGTCTGGTGCCCTGGTGGGACTGGAGACATTGGTGACTCTACTAATCAAGTTTTTAAAATCTGGCTGCTGGTTGGCATCTAGTAGGTGTATCTGCATAGTATAGTTTCACTTCTAGGATAACGGAGATTCCATGAAAATAAAAAAATGAATCATGAATACAATAACTTTCTGCTTTCTCATTGAACTACGGACTTGATATGTAGCACAACCAATTTTTTTTTTGGGGAGGGGCGGCGGCAGGGGGCAGAGTAAAGTTGTCAGCAGTCAAACAGGAGAAGGCACAGGAGAAGCTGGAACTGAAAATGAGGAAATTTTTTTTTGCCCTTAGAATTTTGCAGAAAGAACACAGCATGGACAACGTCAGTAAAGTCCAGCAATTGTACAAAATGCTTTTCTTGATTATTTTTTAGCTTTTCCAAAGAAATGGAATTTATGTGAAATTAAGCTGTTTCTCTGGGGTAGAGAAAGGAGTGATATGGATCCTGTAGGGAATTTAAAAGGATTAAGTCAGGTTTCAGAATAACTAACAAGATTTCAAGTATATTTATTCTTTATTGTTCCTGTAACCAAACCTAGGATGCCTGTCTCAAGATTCCAGTTCATGCTCCTGCTTTTTGTGAGAGGGTCTTGAATTAACTTAAAGGCATGTGCTGTTGTGTCCTGTTACAGGGAAAAGGCAACACAAGTCCAGCTGAGGTTAGTCCTGTGTGGCACCACAACCATGTCTTGCTTCATGTTTAGGTCAGAATCTTTCAGAAGTAAAAGCAGACACATCCCCTAGCAAGAATGTCTGTCTCCATAGGAAACATGTACCATGCACATACAAACTGATTCCAGGTGTTTCTACAGCAGCCATTAAAGTCAACAGTTATCTTGGCTGTACAGGGAATTTGGAACTGGGGCTTTAAACCAAGTCTCTGTGCAGCATGTGTTGTTGTTTATGCTCTTCTCTCAGATTTTGTGGGAAATCGCAGCTTGTATTGGAAAGTCTCTAGAGTATTGAGTCACTATGCTAGTGGTTTTCTAACATACTGACAGACATACTTTCTCTAATTGCCATCTAGACTGCTATGGATACGGTACTTAAAGCTACAGTATCCCGAGGGAAAAACCAAATTATTGTTAAATAAACTTTTTCTGTTTCAATGAGTTAGGAACTTACAATTAGTGATAGTTTTATCTCTTAGGAGAGAAAATAGCTGGAAATAGATCACTTCTGTAAAGAATTGATCTAGTTACTCTCCAAAAACTGTCAGTAGTCCTGTGTAAAGCACTTTACAGAATATCATCATCATCTGTTGCCATCAGTGATGGCCAGTTCACTATAGCATGTGAAATGTATATTCTCAGAGATGCACATGTCCCAGTTCTGCAGTAAAGTTATTTTAGTACAGCTTTTAAAAAATGTCATGATTTTCCTTACATCTTTCTATTGGTACTGTTTTTCCATATTTCTGGTGAGTTTTTCCAGACAGGAAAGCAAATGTAAAAGAAGCTACCTTTCTCTTCTGTCCTTGCCCCCTGTCCTGTGTAATGAAAGTTCATTGTCTTTTTTGTTTTCTTTAAGTTAATGTTGTACTTTATGCAGGTTTTTTTATTGTAGTCATGGCTTCTTGTACTTTTCATATTGGATAGTAAACTAAATATTTGAAGTGCTGAATCTGTAAGTCATTCAGCTAAAGAAAGAGTACTCATAACAAAAAATGAAACAGGACACTTCTCTTGCTTCTCTGATTGTATGTTCAGTTCAGTGTTGCAATTGTGAGAAATACAGTATGATCAGACATTTAAAAAAAAAAGGAATGAAGGAGTGTCTTGGATGGAAATTAGGTAAAAAAAACACCACCTGACACCACCAAAAAAAGAAACACAAACAAAACCAAAACAACAAAAAACCCTGAAGTGTAAAAAACCTTTGTCTTGCTGAAAGATGTTGAAATTTGGGCTATACATCTTGGAGATACTCTTGAAAATGAAGTGGGTATGGGGACAGAGAGAATTTGTCTTCCTGATCTTCAGAAATGTGACACTCATGGACTGTTTAGTACCTCATCTTAACATCCTTACAGCTTCAAAAATTAACGATAATACTGGAGGTTATAATTTCAACTTGCATGCAAACAAAGGGCAGTGCTGATGATTTCAAGTTTTTGTTTGTTTATAAAAGTTTTTATCACTGCTTCAGATGAAGGATGTGAGGCAGAGAAAGTAGATAAGCCCCTCAAATCTAGTTACTTGTGGTTGAGTCCTTTGTAGTATTTCATCTCTCAAAATCACTTCCTTGATTTGATACCCCAAAGCTGGAAAAGTTTGCTGTAAGGGACTTCTGTGGCAGAGACAAAAATAGAATCCAGGTTTCCTGTATCCCAGTTCTTGACCAAAAGACACTCCTTCCTCCTTTTGTTACTTTCTTCCTTTTTTTCTTGAACTAAAGATCTGAGTCCTATGAAAGAACAATATGAATGAGGTCATGCCATGCATATTTATAGCCTTGCATTGCTCTTTAAAATGTACAGTGTATCTGCAGGTGCTCTGGTAACATCTCTAGAGGATCTGCTTAGGTGTCCTGTTACATAAATTAAGATTAACATGCCCTCTATTATTAAGAATATCAGTGTTAGAGTATCTATCATCTCTTAGAGTATGAATTTCTTCCAGTATGCCTTTTGGGGGTTTTTTTTAGCCTACTTTTTGTTTAAGTTTTTTTATTTCTTGCAGTGCTATTTTTGTGTATCTGCGTGGTAGGTAATGTGGTAGCTGTAGATTTGGGCACTGTGCATGCACACTCTGTCTGGTGAAAGGAACTGTACATGCTGTAGTGACTACATCTGGTCTGTACTCTTTGTAAGACATGATGGAAATTACTGAAGGAAGGAGATTCATAAAAGGACTTAAGAAAAAATCCTGTTATAAGCACAACTTTACAGTGGAAGCAAGAACATGGTATTGTTTGCAATTATGCTAAAACCTTTATGAAACTGGAAGAAAAAAAAATCTATATCTGGGATTGATATTTTGTCAGATGTTTGCCAAAAGTGGAAAGTTGAGCCTTGAAGTAGTAGCAAGAGAGATTTAGAATTTTTGCACTGCAGAAACTGCGCTGATTTTACTTTTTTCTCTGCCAAATCAGGATGACAAACGTGCTGAACTTTATGGAACATACGTGATGAAAAATATTTGAGTCTGGAATGGATTTTTTTTTTAATAATTGCATTTCTCATTCAAAAAAAACCAACACTTGGGGAAATATTCCTAGTAAGAAGATGTGTAAAAAATCTTTGTAAAGTTAGACACATTTCTGCCTATTCAGGAACTGAATTATTTCAAGGACTATTCACATCAGATTTTACTTCTAGAGCATGTGGCCTCTGTACAGCTGAGAAGAGGTGTTTTGAAAACATGGAGTTTGAGGTGTAAGACATGTGAAGAGCCTTTCAACATGTTTAATATTGTGTTCAGATGTTCTTTACTAAGAAATAAAATTGTGAATAGGGCTGTCAGGAAAAGAGTGGATCCACCTATTGTGTTTCTATCCCTAGAGTGTCTAAGATTTCACAAATATTGGGTGATTTAGTCCTCAGAGTCAAAGGCAGGAAAATTATGTTATCCATTCATAAAAAGTGAGTCTTGGCTCAAAATGCACAGGCAAGTTCCTTTTTATTTAGCTAGCCAATGATTTCTTGCTCCTTGTATTCTGTAGGTGATGGGAATCTGTGGGTTTTGATGCCATCTGTTCATCTGGCCTTAAGTTCAAATTAAGTTCTGGTTTTGATTGAATTTTGGGTGGCAAGTTGCTTGGTCGTGTGTGAGTTCATTGAAATGTTTCCTATTTGGTTAGCTACCTAATTTTCTTAGATATGAATCCTTCCAAGTGAATGGTTCCTAGGGATGTGGTTTCTGTGAATTAACCTGAATAAAGGTTATTCCATTTTATCTCATTCCTTTTTTAACCATCTCAGTTCTTGTTACCTTTCTACTTCATATCTGCATGGCTTCTGCACTTTTTTACCACTGCTGCTGTTAGTGCCTGTCCTCACAAGATTTGCTTCACTTTCTTGCTTTTTTTTTTAATAGCACAATTAAAGAATGAGCAATCCATTTGTAAGTGTGCACAACTGTAAGACTGGACTCAAGTTCATAGTTAATAATAAAATAACGTTTAAGTACAAGTGCTTTAAATACTTTGTCTAATCAGTGACTGTATAGGTCCTTACACTTTTTAGACATCTTCTGTAAGTGCTGAATTCTTTCTATTTCATGGTTTCCTACAGCGTCTGCTGCTGATAGCCAAGGGCTTGTTCTGTGTTACTGGCATTTCCCACCTATGTCTGCAAACCTAACTTCCTGTCTGACAAGCCCTCCACACAAAGTAGAAAACAACACTCATGTTTCCTGTTTATATTTTACAGTCTACTTTCTGTGCATAGATATTTCCCTATAATGTTTTATTTGGATGATGTGAGGAACTGATATGTTTTGGCTCTTTTAAAGCATTCAGATAAAGATGGTAAGAAACTCTAGAGAGAAAAAAAAAAATGCATGTTTTCTGTAATAAAAGAGCTAGAGCTGAAGATTTTCAAAGCTCAGTGTGCTTACA